ATATAAAGTAGGTAAGTAGGTTTATCCTATATTGAAAACCCTGACCTATCTTTATAAAGGCAAAACCAACAAACCAAAAAAAGACAGGAAAAACTGCATCTACCGGATCCCCTGTGAGTGTGACCGGTACTATATCGGCGAGACCACTCGACATAATAATTAAATAATATCGTAATAACAGGTAAAAAGATGAGTGTTACTAAAAATTAAGGGTCTAAGGTGTCGAATGCTTTGAAAAGATCAAAGAATAGGCCAATGACCACATATTCAGTTATATTTTGTTTAAGTTCAGATGCAGCTGATTCCGTTGAGTATATATTTTTTTTCGAATTTTTGATTTTGTAAGCATTTTAAAGCTTCAAGTACTTAGGTATTGTGGCTATGGCTCTATAATTTTCCAGTTGAGTTTGGTCACCTTTCTTGTACACCGGTGAACAAGGGAGTTCTTCGATTTGTGTGGATTTGTTTATAACTTAAGCTTGAGCTTATCTTGAAACGAGACTCTTTTACAAGTCTGATTGGGATTTCATCGTGTTTGACCGATGTTTTGTTTTTAAAACAATTTAAAATGCTTTGTACTTTGTACTTCTGCTATGGAATACGGGTAAAAAGACATAGTTAAGTGAATATTTTTTTAAAGTACAATTTCAATGTTTTTGGTAAAATTATATTTTTTATTAAATTAATAAAGGTTCTCCAAAAAAATTTTGTTTCTATTATTTAAATTTATTTTTTGTGCGTGAAATTTTTTTTGTTTGTTTTTTTATTTGTAGTTGTTTAGTTTTAGTAAGTACACAAGAAATGAATGGAAACCGTTGTTAATAGGTTTTTATCTTGTAATTAAATCATGCACTGATTCGTCACATTTGGATACTCAAATACGCTTAGTGCACCTGGTGGCTACCTGTGGTCTGATTTCTATACTCGGGGTTGTAAGATTTCTTTATTTGCACTAATTTTTATTTGGGAACCCTCTACAATGGCTAAGGATTGTATATCAGACAGTACTTGACTATATTTTGTATTATAGATTTATTAGTATCACAGTAGGTGTCCTGGCCTCTTTGGTATATTTGTGGCGTTTGGAGTGTAGTTCGGGGATTTTCTGGACCAACTGGTTAGCGTGGATTTATATTTTCTTGATAGTTTTCTGGGTAATTTTGTAGAGTACCTATGTCGGCTGCTATGTTGGAATTTTGTTATTCTGCGAGCAAAGATGTTTTGAACTGTCTGCAGTCTCTTAATATCCGATCTGGCTGCGTTTCCCCAGGTTGTTCCCCGTATGTTATAGCTGGCAGGATAGCTAACATTTATATGGTTCTTTTTAGCCTAAGGTTTGTAAAATTCCGGTTTATTATAGGGCCAAGCTGCCTCAGTGTTGCTCTGACCTTGTTCTCCGTTTCTTTCCAAGTCAGTTTTTGTCAAACACTATGCCCAGGTATTGGGTTGTGAATTTGGCTGCCGCCAATCTCCAGATTTGGAGGGGGGAGTGGGGTTTCTTAGTCCTAAGGAGACAAACATTGCTACGGTCTTCGTTGGATTTATTTTAATTTTCCATTTCCTATACCAGGTGTCTAGTTCTTGAAAGGCTTTGTTAAAATAGGCTCTGATGATTTTGGGATCTCTGTTTGTCGATTCCAGGGCCTTGTCATCTTCGTACAGTGTGAGTTCCGGAGGTAAGTTTTGTACGATAGGGTCGAAATCAGGTATGGATTGTCCTCACTTGCATTCTTATCATATTAAAAGCCAATTATTATAATTTTTAGTGGATTTGCAACTCACAAACATCTTGATGTTTGTTAAGAAACCCTTCTAATGTAGTGTGACGAAAGAAAAGTTATAATAATTTTTGTATGTATATGTTTAAAATTAACCTGAATAAAATGTTAAAGAGTCTGTTGACGAAGTTCAAACAGATTTTAGACCCACAAAATGTCCATCACGAACAATTTGGTTCGTCTAAAAAAGTAATTGACAAATGCTTTAAAATTTAAAATTTTGGACCCCATGGATCGGCCATTCACGTGCGAGCTACTGCAATAGCCAGAAGAAAATTTAAAAAGACTCATGGGTGGACAATCCGTTCCGGATTTCGACCTTACCTAGACAATACTCACCGCGTTTCGCCGCCGCGAGAGTAGAGACCGATTTCGACCCTATCTAGACAAAACGTATTGTTTAATCGCGGACCAATCAGAATGGTCGATTTTTGCCCTATGATTGATACGTGGTACTTTTGGGTTAGGGTTTTCACAGTGACGTTTTCTACTTCCTGGTCAAGTGTTATTATCCAGGGGACGTGGTACTGAAACTGCTCTACCAGTGTTCTCGCAAAAGCTTTGGCCTTTACCTCAGGAGTGTGAATTATCACCTTGGTGACCTATTCAACGTTTTGACACACAATATTTAAATATTTTCGTGCAACAAGACTAAAATGTGCCGAAGCGCCACCGTGCATGAAATTAAATTGCATTCTTGATGGTAAGTATGGGCAATCCCATAGAAAGTGGCGATAAACTCCCGTAAGCCTCGGCGTTAAATAAAATGGGCCAAACAATACCTGGTATAATCTGGTGTTAATGACCTACTATTTCACTTTTATTAAGTTTAATATTGCATTTTTAAAGAAGCTAGCCTAATAGCTGAGCAATATTATTTCAAAAATATAGGGATTTTTACCAATTTATGTATTTATTCTTTGACAAAAAACTACTCTTAACTGATATTCAGTTTGTAAAAGTTGCACGCGTCGGTTGTGATAAGGGTACAAAAGATTATTCTTTAATATTCTGAAAACTGTAGCATAAGATGCATTTAGGTTTACAACAATTTTTCTGATACTGTTTTTAATATTTTTTAAATTTCATAATTGTGGATTTGCTGCTGTAAAACTTTCAGTTAGACGTTAATGGAGACGGGCAAACATTGGGGTATTGGTTTGTATAAACTCTGTTAAAGAAGTACTGCTTATGCTACATTTCGCTATTTGTATAAAATTTTTGTGATTATTTTTTTTGACAGTTCTCTGTATTGTTGGGACATTGTTGAGGCATTGTTGTTGAGGGAACCTACAGCGAATTACAGCGATAATTTTTTGAAAATTTTCTCTGGTAGTTGCTATATATAAAAAACAAATTAAATCTTAATTAAATGTTGTTTTATTCATTATGAAATTCTTATTTGTTAACTGTACATTTCGTCTCATGGTGCAATTCTATTGGCCGACATTTGGGACGGAAAAATAATCCCCCGAATACCACACGAGCTTCAAAATTATCTGGCATTTCCCTCAAGGTTCCCTGCAAACAAATAAAGTCGTCAAGTTTTTCAGGAAAAATCACTCGCGCTTCGCGCTCGTGATTTTTTAACCTGAAAAACTTGACTCCTTCATTTGTTTGCAACGAACCTATCGGGAAAAATACCCGATAATTTTGAAGCTCTTGTGGTATTATAAGTGAAAACTCAACTCATCAATCAATCATCAATCAGAAAAGTCAAAATTTTTGTAAAAAGATAAAAATGTTGAAGAAATATAGTATTTAATAGTAATAAATATTATGAAGACACTGGAATGGTTAAAAAGAGCAATGTGGAATATAAAAAATTAAGAAAATTAAAATGATTTGGCGGTACCAGTTATAGAACTGTTTTGTTAAACTATTATACAGTAAAATTTACAATTACATAAATAAATGAATAAATATATGAAAAAATTAATTTGGTAAAATAACTTACTTCCTTAAAATATTTAGATTTTTTTTACAGTACCGAGACGGCTCTTAAGATATTTAAAAATATAATATTTTTTAAAAACACTCTTTATTTCGGAAACAAAGCCTTTCCAAAAACTATTTGATAGAATGTTTTTTCTTATTTTCATACAAAGTATCTCATGATTTTTTGTAATTTTTGTAATTGTAATTTTTTAATTGTTGATAATATATATATATATATATATATATATATATATATTAGGGTGTGCCAAAAAAACTCGATATTTTTTTTTCTTGCTCTCCACCCAAAATATCGTAGAATATGTCCGAACAAATATTCTGTTAAAAGCGGAGCTCATAATTTCAATTTTAAGAGGTCCCTCATCGAATCTGAAGTTTTGCCGCTTAAATAACACAGAAAACTGACTTTTTTACCTTATTTATTCTTGCAACCTAGGAAGATTTTTTTTTTCGTAAAATCCATGACTAATTCTTACAAAGCATTAAATTTGGACAAAAAAATCTTTTTAAGCCGAATTTCTATTTTCATTATTTAATTTTTTACATAGCTTTAAATTTAAAGATAATAATACAAAAATGATGACTTTATACGCCTGTAACTTTTAGAATATTGACGATATAAAAAATTCGCCTAAAATTTTTTTGTGGTCCATCAGACAAGCTAAAAAATTACCATTTGACTTTTTCGTCTAACTTCAATAGTTTAGCTGAAAAAGGCAAAAAACGTAAAATTTTAAATTTAAAGCTCTGTAAAAAATTAAATAATGAAAATAGAAATTCGGCTTAATAAGATTTTTTCGTCCAAGTTTAATGCTTTGTAAGATTTGGTCATGGATTTTATGAAAAAAAAAATTCTTCCTAGGTTGCAAGAATAAATAAGGTAAAAAGGTCAGTTTTCTGTGCTATTTAAGCGGCAAAACTTCAGATTCGATGAGGGACCTCTTAAAATTGAAATTATGAGCTCCGCTTTTAACAGAATATTTGTTCGGACATATTCTACGATATTTTGGGTGGAGAGCAAGAAAAAAACTATTTCGAGTTTTTTTGGCACACCCTAATATATATATATATATATATATATATATATATATATATATATATATATATATATATATATATTATAGCTGCCCATTTTGATAAAATAATTTTTAAAGGCAAAATTTTATTTTTACCCTGTTTTTAAACTTTTTTAAATATCCTGATTTATAAATATTTATAAAAAGTCATTTTGAAAGGATCAATAAAAAGCTTAAAAATCAATAAATAGCTTTATTGGAAAATACATTACATATTTATATACATCTTGTAAAACAACTAACATAATATTATATACCTAATAAACATATCATTGGCGGTACAGTTCAAAACCATTGTCAGGGCAGTTGTCATCAGTTCATTCGGAATGTCTATTCTAATCATTATTATAAAAAACTATATACTCTACAAATCTTTAAAAATAAAATATACGAAATATTAAATATGGCATATTATATATTTTATTTTAAGTTTGCATTTTTGTCTACTATATTTTTTAGGTTTTGCTGCTTCTTTGTATACTAATGACTACATTCAAAAATTTAATAAAAATCTACAGATTTTAATACCTATTTACAAAATATTTGAGCTTATTTTATGCGAAGAAAAATAAAAAATTAGTCAATGAAATGATATGGAAAAAATATAGGAATTTGTTAATTACTATTTTGTACTTTTTAACTATTTTTGTCGTCGCATATACCTGATTCATCGATTACCTTTGAAATTTTATTTGAAAAAAGTTCAAATTCGAAACATTTAATAGGAATACCCATTCCCTAAAAAAAAGTAGTTTATTAATATTTACTTATTAAAATAAATATATAATAATTTATTAAAATCATCAAGATTCTTAGTTATTAAACACTTGTTTTACGTATTATCTGAGTTGCATATATTAAAGAAAAAATCTTAATATACAATGAGTATCTACCCTAAATGTCATACCATTTCCGTTTCCATTTGAGTAACCATTTCCATTACCGTTACCATTTCCGTTTCCATTACCATTTCCATTGCCATTTCCATTTGGCCCTGAAGGATATCCATTGGGTCCTCCACTTGGGTAACCACCGTTGTCCACACCTACATCTATTAAATTATGTGTAAGACTTTTGATAAAGACAATTTTAACAGTAGGTATTAGTAACTACTATATAAACTTAATAAATTTTGTAAAATTCATAATATATCGCTGTTTGTTGCAAAGTTATTTACGAACCAAAGAATACAGTTGTATGCAAAAAAAGTCCCTAGGTAATTAAAAAAAAATGTTGTTTAATCCATTTGTTTCAAATTTAGAAACTAGAATTTTATAATGAAGAAAATCACGGTCTTCGCTGGGTGTCTGGATTAGAAATTAATTATCTAGTTTATAAATATGAAATAAAAGCAACTTTACTTGAGACTTTGACTTTTGAAATTTCTTTGTTTCTAAATGACAAAGCTTCCTATCACCACTAATTTTACCTTTGGAAGAACTAAATACAATATCTACAATATTTACAAAACCATTATACGGCCTTAGCTTTAGCTTGTACTATATACATGTTAGTGTGCAATACGTGAGCTTCCTAAAAGTGTTCTAAGAATCTATAAGCAGTATTCTAGAGTAGGCTAAAAATTCTGTACCTTCGTAAGTTATCACAGGTTTATATCCGTCGGTATCGGCCACATATTGCACAGTTTGCTTCCTGCCATCTGGCAAAAGGACATTGTACTCGCCTGTGGTCAAATCTCCGTCCCTTTGCTCCTTTTGGCCATACATGTTACCGCTCTCTGGATCGTTTACTTCCCATTCAAATTCGTATTTTGCTGGTTCCTGTGTGCAAATAGTATTTTTAATGTGCCATTATTATAAAAATGTTAGATGTACATCTAACATTTTTATAAGTATATACTTTTTATATTATTAATGTATTTTCATCTTCAAGTTTGGTTTACTTTAGTTAAGGAGCAAGCTTTTAAATCGCATTGTCCAATATGAAACAAAACTATATAGTGGTTTTAAATGGATACTTGGATTTTTGGATACACATTCAGTCACATTATAATCATGTGTAATTTAAATGAGAACAGTAACAAACCCTATAATACGCATTTTGTCCTTTAGGTTAGCCGCATCAAAATGCATTAAGTGAAATTAATTTTACGTGCATGATTAGATTTAAAAAGTTGCACCTTAATATTGGTTGTGTATTCAATAATTTCTTAAACTTACTGTGGTCTCTTCTTCTCCACCACCATAACCGGAATCGTATCCTCCATTGGCTGCATATCCGTTCCCTTAAATTATATTGTAATTATATTTTTTTAGCATTTATGTAGGTAGGTATATCTCATTTGAAAAAATAAAAAATTATTTCCATAGTTGAGGCGTTTACTGCAAAAGTGGCCTAACTAAAAAAATCATAATATTCCCATTATGCGCTTATCTAATAATATAGCTTTATAAAGTGTTTTAATATAAAGAGTAGTTACTACTTTGTATATTAAAATACAATTTATTAGGCTTGTTCACTCGATATGCGAATAAAAGGAATAGTTTAGGATAAAACACAAAATGATTTTTTTTCAGTTAAGCCGCTTTTGCATTAAATGCCCCAGTTGTATTTCCAAATAATCGAGTATATTTTTAACCATAGTTGTAACTCGAAATAATCGAGTGTAATTTTAATTTAAAACTAAATTTGCGTTTGTGATCATTGTGTTCCTTAAAAAAAATAAAACTAGACATCTGCACTTTATAATATTTTGCTTAGTTCAAAAAATGTTTTTAAAAATAAATTTATTAATACCGTTAGATGGATATCCTCCATTTCCATTACCGTTGCCATTTCCGTTACCATTACCATTTTTCGGTGGTCCATACATGGGGCTGGGTGGTTTTCCATTGCCGTTACCATTGCCTAAAATTATTATTATTTTTAAAATAGTATTAACAAGATTAAATAAATGTATTGCAAATTAGTGTTGCTGATTTATTATCGATTTATAACATATTTTGGTTAATATACAGTTAATCAAATGTTTTTTGTTTATAAGCGTACACTAATTTTTATATAGATATAGAAAGACTTAATATTAATACTAGTTCATTATTAAACTTCGGTTAGATATATAATAAAGTTGGCGGTTTTAAACAAATTCTTAAAAACAAACTGTACATCTAAAATTTAGAAACACTCGCAAATTTTGCATGGAATAGCAGCCATTTTAAAACTATATCATGACTAGTTTATCTTTGTAAATACTACTTTTAAAGTATCCCAAAGAAAACTTCAGGAGTCAAGTAAGCACTCGCCAAAGAAATAGGCGAGTTAGTGCCCACCTGTATGGTGATTTAATAAAAATAATTTAAGGTTTATTTTAATTTTAATTAACAATATTTTATAATAGTTTTACAGTTTGTATTTAATAATTTGTTTAAAATTATTTTTAAGAAAAAAAAGGCTCTTTCAAATCATGACCCTCAAAAAGTAAATTTTAGTCCAAAGTACGATTTTTCAGTTCTAGATCGCATAGTTATAGTAATTCCATGTAAAAATGTCTAATCGATGTGCTTCATGGTTTTAGAGTATGATAAAAATAATCAGCTGCGGCTTGGCAGTTAGCCCAGATGATGGTAATGTTCAGCACAAACCTAACTGACTCAAATACACATTCAAGATTTTAAGGTTTTTCGTTTTCTCTCACTTAAATTATAAGGAAGGTTTTCAGTGGCTTAACATAGAAAATGCCTTTGAACCGAAAAATATTGCGAACCAGTCATTTTTTTACCGGATCTTTACGAAAATATTTTTGCTAATGTCCTTTAATTCTAGAGTAATTTTTAATAGTAAAAAGGTTTGAGATAAGTTTAAAAAAATTATTAGGTTAAAAATTGACCTCGAGTGTATTAAGGTAGTTGTCGTGGTACAATATTGTCAAAAATTTTTAGATTATACGCACCGTAAAAGTATACGAGCTTGTAGCTAAGTGATTTATAATTTATTCGCAAGACTGTACCCTGGAGACGTTACCTTTACGTAATACTTTCAAATATTTTCATAAGTTTTAATCCGGCAACGTCGCTTATGCTCAACCAATAGATATATTGGAGACTGAATCAGTGTTTGAATTTACTGCGGAAATAATATCTATACTCGCGTACAGCATTGCCAAGTTGTTTTTATCTGACACTAGTGATGTATACTTTTTACAAATTGTTGAACTTTAAACGGTTATTTATAAACAATTGGACGGTCAAAAATTTTTAATTATTTTTTTTAAACTCAGCACAAATACATTAAAAGACTGTTAGTTTTTTAAAAGCTTCTGACGGTTAGTTATTTTTTTATAACTAAGAAACTGGTACAGAACTACAGAAAGCGTATACAATCCATGTTAATTATCCAATTTTCAATTGAATTTATCTCGGGTTATAGACGGTCAATCGACTTCAAATTTTAAGGATAATTGTATTGTCATGTCCTTAATAAGTATACAAAAATTTAAAATTTTCTGATGGTATGCTTACAGCACGACAACTACCTTAATGGAAGAAATACCTACATGAATTTAAATATTTGCCTGAAAATTTTTTCCAAATCTCTCGGAATTCATTTTTTAGCTAAACAAACTCTCGCTTACACGGACTTTTCTGTTTATTTATGTGCTTACCTAGTAAAATACCTAAATGGCTTTTATCGATTTTACCCACCTCTAGTGCATTTTTATCACTTTTAAAGAATCTTATTGGTCGAAATTTCTGAAATTCGTCGTTTTGATTGCTTATATAAAGAATTTATTTATCTACATACAAATGGTTTTAAACGATTCAGAATATCATTTTTAGAAAATGCATGTAGCAACACATTTCTAGCTCATAATAACACAACCTTACGGTTTTAAAGGTTAAAAAAATATTCTCACCATTTCCATTTGGTAGTCCGTAAGTTGAACTTGGTCTGCCATTACCATTTCCATTACCATTACCATTAGGAGGTCCATACGTCGATCCAGGTCTGCCACCATTTCCATTTCCATTACCGTTACCTAAAAATATATAAGTAAATACCAGTCTCAAACTAATCTTAAAACGTTTATGATTTAAGGATATGGAATAAGGTTAGGGCTAAACATATTATACTAAATTAAATAAATAGTATAATCACTATCCATCAGTACTTAACTTTAGTATTTGTATAGCTAATAATTAATTACAAGTAAATATATTTATGCTAATTAATTTAATTATTAAATCTTACTTGAGGGTCCAAAAGCAATGCAAAATCTTCTGCAATTTCTAATTTTGTATCCATTATTTAAAAAAAGTATCAGTTTAAGACCGAAAGTACTTAATGAAATAATAATATAATGCAATAATTGCAATTTCGATGCACGACTGCATGTGGCACTTACGATGTCGAACACAATATGAGATGTTATTATACAGTTTACGTTAGAAAAGAAATTAATGTCAAGGCGGTTTCCAAGTTGTTCTTGCACCAATTGAATTAAACGACTTATAAAGACATAATAAATGCATTTACCAAATTTGTATGAGAGCAGATGACCACGATATCTATATTAAATAAGAATGCAAGTTTTTAACAACTAATTAATAATTAAGAATGCAGGCAAATTGAAATAATTAAAGTTTAAATTATACAATAGATTGTTAATATTTACGTTTTTGGCATTATTTTATTGTATATCCATTTAAGACTTAAGAATTTGGAATAAGTTTGGAAAATATATTTCAGTTAAGCAAAAAGGTGGTAACCACTGTATTACTTAATATTGTAGTTAGCACATTTGTGCTTAGCACGGCAAAGAACATGTCTACACGATAAATGTTATATGTTTACGTAATAATTTGAATATTTTAAATTAATTTAAACTAATTATAGTTTTTTATAAACCGCTCATCGTTCATTTCAACTAATATAGCTACTATCGTGTAACCCCCAATGAAAAACAGCAGGATAAATAATTAACTAATAACTAACTATTTGGATGGAAGAATACAGAAGGCGGTGAGCGAGTCAGGCAAAACATTTAATGTGGAGACAAAACGTTACGAGTTAAACTAGATTTTCAGGATACCATACTTTCTTTTAATTTAAAAAAAGTATATTTTCTTCCATACTATTTTTATTAACCCCATACCTTAGAATATTTAACAATAAACATACCGTTTCCATTCACTGGAGCCCCGTAGGATGAACTTGGAGCACCATTTCCATTACCGTTACCATTAGGAGTACCATACGTTGAGGACGGCTTTCCGTTACCGTTACCGTTGCCGTTACCGTTACCATTACCGTTGCCGTTAGGTACACCGTAGGTTGAACTAGGTGGTAAATAAGAACCTCCAGGCCTTCCATTGCCATTTCCATTGCCGTTTCCGTTACCATTGCCATTACCTTTACCATTTCCATTTGGTACGCCATATGTTGAACTGGGTGGCAGATATGATCCTCCTGGTTTTCCATTGCCATTTCCATTCCCGTTTCCATTCCCGTTTCCGTTTTTGTAACCATTGCCATTTCCATTTCCATTTCCGTTTTTGTAACCATTGCCGTTTCCATTACTTGGTGGGCCATAAACAGGTGGTGGAGGAGCTCCATTGCTGTACCCGTTGCCATTTCCATTGCCGTTACCATTGCTGTACCCGTTGCCATTTCCATTGCCGTTACCATTTCCGTTACCATTTCCGTTTTTACCATTTCCATTACCGTTGCCATTGCCGTTTCCGTTTGGCACGCCATATGTTGAACTGGGTGGCAGATATGAACCTCCTGGTTTTCCATTGCTATAACCATTTCCATTACCGTTACCATTTCCATTAGTCTTTCCATTGCCGTTTCCATTTCCGTTTTTGTAGCCATTGCCGTTTCCATTTCCGTTTTTGTAACTATTGCCGTTTCCATTTCCGTTTTTGTAACCATTGCCGTTTCCATTACCATTTCCATTAGTGGGTGGGCCATAAACTGGTGGTGGAGGAGCTCCATTACCGTTCCCATTACCATTTCCATTAGTTGGGGGGCCATAAACTGGTGGTGGAGGAGCTCCATTACCGTTTCCATTACCATTTCCATTAGTTGGTGGGCCATAAACTGGTGGTGGTGGAGCTCCATTGCCGTTACCATTACCATTTCCGTTGGTTGGTGGGCCATAAACAGGTGGTGGAGAAGCTCCATTACCATTACCATTACCATTTCCGTTAGTTGGTGGGCCATAAACAGGTGGTGGAGGGGCTCCATTGCTGTAACCATTCCCATTTCCGTTACCATTTCCGTTTTTACCATTGCCATTTCCATTTCCATTACCGTTACCGTTGCCATTGCCATTTCCGTTGGGCACCCCATATGTAGAAGATGGTGGTAAATAACTTGGTCCACTATATCCATTTCCATTACCATTGGAAGGTGGCAAATAACTGCTTCCAGGTGTTTGATCACCATCAGGATCTCTTCCACCTAAACCTAAATAATAATAATGTTTTGTAGGCATTCATTTTTTTGTTTTATTTATTTCAGGATAATCTATTCTAAAATTGATATAATCACATAAGTGTTTACCATTCCCATTTCCATTGCTATAACCGTTTCCGTTGCCATTTCCATTGCCGTTTCCATTAGGGGGAAGATATGAAGGTGGTGGGGGTTCAGTTCGAACTACCACACACCCTGTTAGTAGCAAAAGAGTCAGTAACTGAAAAATATAAATATTAAAATAAAACTATGTCTAGTTTATTTTATTGAATATGTTCCAGTTTATTTAGAGAAGTTACTATTACGGAAAATAATCAAATAAGGTTTGTCACATCGCAGATATGTGGGCAATTTTATTCAATAAAGGATATTTTCGTTGTTAAACTGATTTCCTTTTAAGATCCTTTTACGTACATAGCCAACAAAGCATATATTATTGATAACATTCTTCTAATAACAAATACTATATATCTATTTCATGGGCAAAACTTCTTTTGTAATAAAAGTAGTAAGGTAGTATCTCCATTTAAAGAGTTTTTATAGAATGTCTTCAAAATGTAATAAATGATTTTGTGAAATTAATTTAAGATTTTATTAGAGTACAAATTCCAAAAAAATATTTTTTTTAAAGTTAAATTTCTTTTTATGCGACATTTTATTATTTTAAGCTCCAATTATGTTTAAGCTACCAACATGATACTATTTTATTTCTCGATTAAAAACAAATTTTTAAAATAATCTGTGGGATATCTGTGAGAAATAACACTTCTGCACAGGTCATATTTTCCATAAATTCTTTCAAAATTTCGTTTTTAAACTCGTGCAACCAAAGAGGATCGTGTTTATGGCTTAAAAATTGATCATTTCAGTATATTTTTTATAAAAATCTCAAAAAAAAACAAATTTTTAGTACTTTTTAAAATTGTCGTTTCAAATGTTGTGCTGCCAACTTAAGGAACCCAAAAATATGACAGTTTTAAACCTTTGCCATTATTTTAATAACAACAAATTATCATTAATAACAACAAATTATCATTCTATTTTTTTTACTTTTTTAGTTGTTTCTTAGTTTTTTATACATGTTACTTCTAAATTGTTATATTTTAATTACATAAGAATACAAATTAAAAGGATTAAAAAGTATATTTGCATTAAAAATTAAATTAATTAAAATCAATTGACTGTTTTTAACCTTTCTTTTCTTCAAGTAATAACTTATCAGAAATATGTACATTACCAATGTTTTTCAAATATTATAGACAAATATTAAGTTATTTTTATATGTATTTATATTTATTTATATTTATTTATGTTTATTTATATTTATTTATGTTTATTTATATTTATTTATATTTATTTATATTTTTTGATACTTTTTTATATTTATTTAGTGTTATATTTATTGTGCATAATAGGGTAGGTCTCTAGGTTATTATTTTATATTAAACTTCTATAATTAAAGATTTAATAAGGAACAAAATAATAATTATTAAGAAATATTGAATATAAAATATGTTAAATATGTTAAATATATTAAAAATTAGTACTAATTAAGATAAAAAAAATTAAACTTTTATTTAAAATTTGCATTTTTAAATGATGATTTTTTTATAATAAAAATAAAAGTTTTTTTTTAAATTTAATTTAATTTTCTTAGTCTTTTTGTGTATTGATTTTATGAAAAAATTTAGAGCCTAAATAAGAAAATGACAAAACTATATTTGGTAAAAAATTTAAACCAAAGAAGAAAAAACAATTTAAAAAAGAAATATATAAAACTTAAAATACTTCTTTAATTTAATTAAAAATAGGCTTTACACCCAGATCTATATCAATATGCATTAACGCGTGCCTCATTGGAGGATTATAATAACCAAGAACCAATAAATTACCATTTTAATAGGTTTAGAAAAAAAAATTGTTGTTTTATTATTTTAAAGAGCCTTTAAAAAAAAAATGCTTACTAAATTTACAGCATTTACATAAAATTAAAACAACAGAAAATTTAATTGTGAATTAATATTTGTTCTATAATAGAAAATCACATTTTAAAGGGCTGGTAAATAATGGTAATATAACTTACCCTGTTCATATCAAAATTAAAAAAAACACTAAAATTCCACAGTATAGAGTATAGGGCGAATTCTACATAGAAGAACCCCTAACCGTAATGCAATGACGAACTACTGATGATAACTACATAAATGAATCGCGGACTATTGAATGAAATTTAAGACGCATCTTCACTTTATATATACCTTATTCGATCGTGATTCACAACATTCATGTATTTAGTACACATCCACCGTATTTTTGCAATTTTTAGTCGCTAATGGCCATTTTTATTTAGTGAATTGTTCATTGCGTAAGGTTCACATTACTTTGTATAAAGCAAAAGTGAGTGTATGATAATCTTCTTTATCTTCTTGGTGCATTCTTCGCATGAACAGGATTCAAATTAAGATTAAAAATTATTAAATTATTTAATAATATTGGTAAGTATTTTTATTTATTTGTCAATGTAAGAATCCAAATTTTAAATTTGTGTGCAAATAAATTAAAATATCTTATTTTTTATATAAATTATGCACAAATTTAGAATGTATGTGCCTTCCAGACATATCTTGTAATCAGTTAAAACACCAATTTTATGTTAAAATAATTGTATAAACTTTTTGAGCTTTGGGTATCCAATATTTATTTGTTTGCACATATATAGAGTAGTGGTAAAAATATTTATTGGAAAAACCAAAAGGCTATCGGCCGAGGTATTTCTGCCTAATATATGTAATATTAAAGCATTATTATTTAAATAAAAATACTAATACTAATAATAATAAATACTATTATATCCTACACGGTTTTAAAGGAATTTTTTAAGATTTATTAAGTTGAAGAATGTTCGCCTTATTTAAGTAAATTTATTTTATTTATTCATGTTTTAAAGATACACTTGCATTTTATTTTAAATTAACAAAGTCTAAAGATAAATGTGAAAAACTATTTTTAAAACCCACTTGTGTTTTTAAAAATTTTCAAAAATTTATTGGCAAGACATAGACACGAGAGCCTATAGGGGCCCTATAGTATAGGGCTCATTTTTAAGAAATCATGGAAAATAATTTTCAATTAATCAATGCCGCATTTATTCAATGCCTCAACAATAATATAAATTTTATAAAATTAATTTAAATTGATTTTCCGGCAATAATATTAATAGATTATTTCTACTAATAAAATTATGTTTTGATTGTTTGGATACTCGTAGGTACATTACTGAATTAAAAGTTAAATATAAAGTTAAGTTAAGTTCAGTTAAATATTTTCAATTGAAAAATATACTTAACAGTTTTTTTTTAATTTAGGAGAAACCAAACCAACTTTCAGTACTAAAAATGGTGTGGGTTTTGGCCAAAAAATAGTTTTTTTTAATTTTCACATTTAAACCAGTAAATAAAAAAGGACTTGTAAGGTTTCCATATTCTGTCAAAAAACGGAACATTTTATGTTAACAGTAATGGGGTTGGAACTAGTTCTATTAGATTAGTCACTAATAACAACCTTCATCAATTTTTTCTTAAAAATGACAGATAATTGATAAATTCTCTCGGTAGCCTACCAATGGTATAATAGGCGTGTCAAGTTTTACGAATGAAGTATATGAAAAAATAAATATTTTTATATGTATACAGTTCATAAAATTATTTTTAAAATTTAATATTTGCACCTTTAATATGTAATTTTCCTCGTTTTTTTTTAAATATTTAAATATGAATAATATTGAACATAACATGCTAGTAACAGATGTTGGATTATTCGTAATTCCTGGCAAATCTGGTATAACAATGTGACGTCACGATCTGTTTTTAAGATAATGGAAGCGTTTTAAATCTTGCGGTGCACCGCGGTGTCTATCGTTCAAAAATAGTTTAAAAAACCTAGAAAAAATGTTTAAAAACAAACTCGTATGCTTGGATTCTTAATATGGAGTAAACATGCAAAAGCCAATAAATCCATTTTAACTTATTCTGAAATATTGGCCAAAAATGTGTACAGCACATTGCCCCAAATATTTAAAAACTATTAAAAGGGTATGTTGCTCTTGTTGGGTTGTTTCTGTTTCAGTTTTTACTTAAAATGCTGTGCTCAAAACCGTTTACCAAAATTAGTAAGAATCGGTACTATCCTGTTAAAATGTAAAAATGGGTTTATCGGTTTTTGCATGTTTGCTTCACAAATATGCAATAAAAAAATCGCAACCCCATTAAGAAACGTCAAATTTAAATTTTGCATTGAATCATTGTATCATTTTTGCAATAAAGGTAAATTAATAAAAAAAAATTCGGTTTTTTCTTCTTCAGAATATGACAACCCTAATTACAACGCCCTTAATTGTTTTAGGCTAAAACTAAGGACATTATAACCTCTTTTTACTTTATTTAGTTCTAAATTTAATGCTAAACTTAGCCCTGTTAATTACCTTGCTAAATAAACAAATCATTATTAAAATTTAGAAAAGGCCAAGACCATCGAAGTTTTGTATGCCTTCATCAAATTTTACAAACAAAATTGCGCGTTCCTTACATTTATAATCATGCTATTAAAGAAATTAGACGTTTTAGAATAATTATCAGAGTTGTGTTGATTGATTTACATTTTTGGGTGTTTCCACGTCAGATCAGGCAGTTTTTGACCCTCACCTCCTCTGATTTTGGCGAAAATCGCTGTATGGGCTTCAAATGGGCCCAAATGGACCTGACTGCAAAAGTTTAAAAAAATAATAAAAATTGTGGATTTTATGAGGGGTATCATTTTTGGAACTTTTCAGATCAGAGGTATATTGTTTTGCTTATATCTTGGGTCCTAATTGACGTCTCATTTTAAAGGAAAAAGATTATACTTTTTGATTATTTTTTAAATTTGTATAATTTTTCATTAAAATATATACATTTGAAAAATTCAATTTTAAATATAACAAAAATATCCTAATTGACCTAGAGAGTTAGTTGTTCGACGTCTTATTTTAAAGAAAAAAGACTATAATTTATAATTATTATACATTTTTTTAAATTTGTATAATTTTTCATTAAAATATATAGTTTTGAAAAATTAAATTTTACATATATTTCAAAAACACCCCTTTTTATTTTTTTTTATTTTTTTGTATATGAAGAAGCAAACCTTTTTCTACACTTACCTAAATTTTGGTAAAGGTTATTTTTTTTTTAAGAGATATATGATTTTTTTAATATTCCGCGTCTTTATACCGCCTACTTAGTTCTTATTTATTGGGCTTGGGTTTGATTCCCGGTACTAAAATATTTTTGGGTATTTTTTCTCTCTTAAGAATACTAAATTTTAAAAGGAAAATTATTTAAATATTTTAATATAATGTGTTATTAGTTTTAAATTTACGTAGATAACCTACAACAAATAAGAAAATATGCTTTAATTAAAATATTCTCGTTGAACAAAAGTAGGTTCATTTAAATATTTTTTATTTTTTTCTACCCGGTAAGTAATTGATAAAATTATTTTTTTATTTTGAATTTGTAGAATTAAATTATTTTGGCAATTAATGCCATTCTTAGTTTTAGTAATTCTATTCAAAACCTTAATTTAAAACTTTAGCCAATTTCTTTTATTAGGATTATGATTTTTTTTTAATTGGCGATAAGTAATATTTTTTTATTATAAAATACTTTAAAGTTATTATGAATTAAGCTAAAATAGTTTTAAGGTTTGTGTGACTTAGAAAAACGCATCACAAAGAACTATTTCACAGTTAAATAAAAAAAAAATTCTAGTAATAAACTACTAGTAGGTAGATAAATATTATTTTAATTTTATTACCATTAATATTTATTAAATTTTAAAATTTTTAATCTAAAATAGAAATGATTGCCAACTAAATTCCCAAATTTGCCACGTTGTTTTAATCCCTTAAATTTGCACGAGTTCAAACAAAAAAATGAACCTACTTTTGTACAAAGAAAATATTTTAATTAAAGCATATTTTTTTATTTGTTACAGGTTATCTACGAAAATGTAAAGCTTATGACACATTATATTAAAATAATTAAATATTTTTTCCTTTTAAAATTTAGTATTTTTATGAAAAAAATACCCATAAATATTTTAGTACCGGGTATAAAGACACAAATATTAAAAAAATTTAGATAAGTGTAAAAAAAGTTTGCTTCTTCAAATATAAAAAAATTAAAAGGGGTGTTTTTGAAATATTTAAAATTGAATTTTTCAAAACTATATATTTAAATGAAAAATTATACAAATTTAAAAAATGTATAATAATTATAAATTATAGTCTTTTTTGTTTAAAATAAGACGTCGAACAACTCTCTAGGTTAATTAGGAGATATAAGCAAAACAATATACCTCTGATCTGAAAAGTTCCAAAAATGATACCCCCCATAAAATCCACAATTTTTATTATTTCTTATAACTTTTGCAGTCAGGTCCATTTGGGCCCATTTGAAGCCCATACAGCGATTTTCGTCAAAATCAGAGGGGGTGAGGGTCAAAACCTGCCTGATTTATGTTACCAAATCCTAGGGTCCACTCATAGAAGTTATAATAATATCGATGACTTTCTGCCAAAGTATCGCAAGCAACATAACTCAAATTTCGGAAATTGAAAACATTTTTTGTTTTAAAGTCTGTTTTAAATTAAATATAGCCTAAAGGTTTTATAACAAGTAAATAGCTTATAATTATAGCTATTTACTTGGTATAAAACCTATAGGTTATATATGGTTTAAAACAGACTTTAAAACAAAAAATGTTTTCAATTCCCGAAATTTTAGTTATGTTGCTTGCGATACTTTGGCAGAAAGTCATCGATATAATATTTACCTTTCTCAGAAGGAGGCCTATTGCACCCTGTAAGGTGCATAAGCAATAACAGTGGATGTCAATTAAAGTAATACTAAAGTCCTATTTTTTCTTAACATTTTTTCTTTATTTACGATATAATCTGTTATTAACATTTCTTATTTGACAACGTTTACTGTCGTATTTCAAAATAACTGAGATCCTTTCCAGCGTATATCGACTTTGCTCTTATTTTTTTAATTCAAGAAAACTTTATCCTGTTCGTGTGCTTTAAAACAGTGTATTTTCGTCAATAATTTTTAATTGACATTCGCTGTTGTCTTCAAATTTTGTAGAAAAAAAATTGGTCTTAATTTTGCACCCAGTTTATGCTCAAATTAAAATCTAAATAAAAA